CTTTCCTTTTCACTTGCACTGAAAACAAAATTACTGTTTCTTGTTCTCTCTTTCCTCTATGGCCCTTTCCATAGCAAAGCTTGATGTGCAGAAAGGAGATGCAATTTGGCCTTGATCTTTTCAAATCTTCTAGAAATCTGGGGGTCTTAACCACACTTGTGGAGGTCCAGTGAAGAGGGCAGACACAGAATAAAGTCCCACCTCTGCCATGGATTTGTTTGTGGCACTGGGCAAGTCAGTATTTTTTTAATCTCAGTTCTTGAACTAAGAAATAAGAATCCTGTCACCTGCTTGATAAGATTGTTGTAAAGAACTTTACTGTTGTTGTTTTAAGCATGATAAATTCACCAAAGTCCTACAGGCACATTAAACATTCTTTAGTTCACTTCCAGCTGAGGAATATTCTTGAGGTTGAGTCTTTTGCTCTGAAGAGCTGGCAGAACTGAAAGAACATCACTTTCTCCTTCTTGCTTCCATTGCTTTGTGGATTTTTGCACAGAGACTGCTTTGTTCCTTGGCCATACCTGCAAAGGGCTCAGGCACTTCGAATTTCACTAGGTTGCTTCTCATGAACAATGCCCTCCAAAACTCAAAGGTTTGGAAGGAATTAAAGTCCTGTTCCTCAGCACTCCGCTCAAGTATGAAAAGAACCGTTTTTGCACAGGATAGGTCACTACATAGAGCTCTCCTCTAATTTAGCAGCAATGGAAGAGGGCAGAAAGCCATCCACAAAGGCTCTGCATGACCACCCCAGATGGATACCTTGCATATTTATGCTAGCTGCACTGTAGACAAGACCTTCCTTTATTGGGGAGAGCAACAAACACAATGGTGATTATCCCACATGCCCTTCCTCTGCCACCTTGCCAGCTGTGGTTAAACAGAGAACAAAAGCATTCAGCATCTCATAGCAGCCCAGGACATGACAGATCCAGCAGCAAAATGCTACACACTCCATGTGGAGCACAGTAAAAATGGCAGATTTAACAGGCTTTTTTTTCCTTTTCCTTTTTGTAAATAAACCAAAGCCCCTGAGGAATTTTCATGGCCAGATAGCTACATGTCTATTTAGCTAAGGTTCCAGGGTTAATGCCAAACATAGGAACAAAAGTGACCATTAAGAGGGAGGTTCTCCTCGCAGCTACTTCCCTTCTGGGGGATGTCATCATAATACCTCCAAGCACTAATGCAAGCAAAGAGGAAGCATGCAGATGCCAGGAAAAAGGATGCTATCACCTGAAGCACCAGTACTAATTCCTGAAGCACTCAAGTTTTCCCTGGAGGCCTCCCAGGGGCAGGCTTTCCCTGGTTAAGTAGATGATAAATGACAAGACCACGGCCCAAAGTGAAAAAGCTAGAGGCATGAGATAGTGTCTGGCAAGTTGAAATGAAGGTCACTCTCTGAACATTCTTGGTTTCTGCTGGACAGTTCCACAAGCTGGCAGACCCTTGCCGACCTCTACCCGGTGAAAAACAGCTCTCAGGAAGAATGTGGTTTCCAGAGAGAGAGAGAGAGAGAGAGAGAGAGCGAGCTCACTTAGCCCTGTCCTGAAATCAAGTCTTTAGCAAGAAGGCAGAAGCCTCTTCCTGGGCTCAGGGGAATTGTGGCAGTTTGCAAGTGAGCCAAAGGCCATAGCAATGAAAGGAGATGCAAGCAAAATATATTAGCATATGCACAAATAAATACTACACAGCAGAAGAAAAACTGTGAGTCCTGATGCGCTTTGTACCACAGCTCAGTGGGAGGATATATGCTTTCCATGTGAAAGGTCCCTGGCAGCTCCAGCAAGGGCTGGAAAAGACTGAAACTCTGGAGAACTGCTGGCAGCAGTGGCGGAGCTGGGTACTCCGGCACCTGGAGCGGCACACATGCCATGCACCTGTGGGCGGGGCACTCTGCTCAAGGGGCAGGGCGATCTGCCCACAGAGCTGATCGGCGCGGCTGCGTGATTCTTCCCGGGGGCCGATCTTGGTGCAGGGGGGCGCCAAATGTCACCCCCCTTCAGGATGACACCTGGGGCGGTCTGCACCCCACGCACCCCCCTTCCTACGCTCCTGGCTGGCAGGCAATGCTGAGTTTGATGAGCCAAGAATTTAAGTTTACCTTTGCATAGGATAGCGTACCAAATGCATACCCAGTGCATGATTTATGTAGAGCACAACTTTACAGTAAACCTTTAAGCTTGACACTAGATTCATACTTAAAAGCATAATTTGCGGCCATAATTTTACCGCCAACTTCAACTAAAGCAGCTAATTTAATTATCACTTTCTATACTCCAGATAGTTTAAAAGGTAAGTATGGAATAAATGGAACAATCTCTAAACTGGCATTTCCACTCTCTTTTCCAAACATGCCAGGCCACAAGTTCAACAGCCTTTAATCCCAATATCATGATTCAGAAACTCAAGTCAAATTTACGTAAGCTACTGACTCTTCAAACAAAACATTACAGTAAAAAACAGACTGGTAATGGGAGCTTAACACAAATATAATCTAGCCAACACCCGCTTAAGTTTGCAATGACACAGGAATCATGTTTGGATTCAAGTTATTGGCTATGTTCAGGTGTCGTGCAAAATCATATTTTACCATAATGAGAACACACAGCAGTGAACTTTGGGTTTGGGTACTCTCTTCTCCCTCTGGTGTGAGGAGACTGGAACCTTTTGCTTCCAGTTTCAGGCCACTGGTCCATCAAACTCAGTATTGCCTGCCAGAGCTTTGCTCCTGATGATACTCCTGAAGATCATATTTCAATGCAGAGGCGATTAGTAATATATAGAGAGATCTTTCATTCACAAGAGATTTTTTTTAATACTTTCCATCTTCCCAATTCTGGTTTTTTTTAAAAGTTTAAACAACAAAGATGACTGTTGTGTCGTCAACAACAAAGTCCAGTTGCCTCTTGTAATAACTGTGAAAGGTGAGAGGGGGAATCACTTCTTAGAAAACCAAATGGCTATATTCTTGAGGTTGCTAGACATATATCTGTCTGGATCTTTTTGGACTGGATAAGTATGGTGTAACTCTGTGGCAAATATAATTTACCCATGCTCAACTGCAATATCACACCGATCCTGGCATGACTGCAGGACTGCTGATTAGTTTCCAGGACTAATTCAAAGTGCTGGTTTTAAGCTATAAAACCTTAAATGGCTTGTGGCTGCAATACCTCAAGGACCACCTCTCCCCATATGAACTGATCTGGACCTTGCAATCGTCATCTGAAGCCCTTCTTCCTGTGCCTCCTCTGTAGGAGGTCCGGAGGGCAGCAACATGAGAACGGGACTTTTCTGAAGTGGCTCCCCATTTGTGGAATGCTCTCCTCAGGGAGACTCACCTGGAACCTTCATTACATATTTTTAGCTGCCAGGGGAAAACATTTCTCTTTACCCAGGCCTTTGGCTAATTAAACAATCTATGGCCTTTTAAACTGTGGGTGGGTGGGGGTGGTATTTTGTTTGTTTGTTACTATGGTTTGTATTTTTGTGTTTACTGTATATATTGTAAACTGCCCTTTGATCCTTGGTTGAAGGGCAGTCAGTCAGTCAGTCAATCAATCAATCAATCAATCAATAAAATAGTTTGAGATCACAAGAGTAGCAAGAATAGAGACATAACAAGTGTGACTTTCTCAAGTTAGGAGCCAAATTTCCATTTTGCTTTGAAGCTGCAATAACCGGGTAAGAGAAATCAGCCTGTGAGGTTACAGGGTAATCTCTAAATGGTTAAAGAGATGGAAGGAGATTATTGGGACCAATATCATATTCCATAAAGTGCCACATTCCTCCTAATATTACTTTGCAATCCAACCAAGTTTATTTTATGTTGAACAGCACATGGGGAAGCTTCTTTACCAACTGACCCATCAGTAGACATGGTATTACAAACATACATCCATAGAGCACAAATTAGAAAGTCTGAACCTGAGTAATTAACCTGGCAAAGAGTGGGCATGGTTTTCCAATAGTCAAGCCTTCAGACAGTGGTTGTATGCTATAACTACCCAAACCAGCTACTGATTACTGTTATATCCTTGACACAGAGCTACCCTTGAATATAGTCCAAAAACTGCTGCTAGTGCAGAATGCTACTGCTAGATTCTTGGCTGTCAGTTCAGTGTGATGCCATCTAACCTCTATTCTGTTTAGGGTAGATGTTGGCTGGCAGGCTGCCTATACGCTACTAGGCCCAATTTAATATGTTAAGTTTAACTTATAAAAGCCCTGAATGACTTGGGACCTAGGTATTTGGCAGAACAGCTGTCCTCGTACTAGCTAGCCTGAGCTCTCAGATCAGCTGAGGGGGCCCTGCTCAATGTCCCACTGGCAAGTGCTGCTCATTGTGTGGGAACATGAGATGAAATGGGGTGCAATTACTTAGAAGGCCCTACCTGTGAAATTTCTTCCCCAGGAAGAAGTGGTGGCCACATCATTGATGCCCTTACAGAGGTACCTCGGATTACAGATGCTTCAGGTTACAGACTCCGCTAACCCAGAAATAGTACCTCGGGTTAAGAACTTTGCTTCAGGATGAGAACAGAAATCGCACAGCGGCAGCGCAAGGCCCCCTTAGCTAAAGTGGTGCTTCAGGTTAAGAACAGTTTCAGGTTAAGAACGGACCTCCGGAACGAATTAAGTTCTTAACTCGAGGTACCACTGTATATTGTTTAGTATAAACTCATATCTTCTCCCAGCTTTTAAAATGGGGGTGGATTTATAGAGTCTGCTTGGAGCATTAATACAGCACTGAATGTATTTTTGCATCACTACTGGTTTTAATGTTTGAACTGATATTTTGTTTTATTGTTGTGCTTTTCTTTTTATTGTAAACAGCCTTGGGAACACTTTGGTGGTGAGACGCACTTTGAGGTTTTTTTCAAAGCGGTATATAAATTGTATTAAATAAATTATAAAATAATAAAAAGCAGCCTTTTTTATTTAAAAGAAGAAATAATTTTATTTGCATTTGGAGATCGCATGGTCTTTCAGCTGACCCTGTTACAGTTTGCTAGTCGGTAGAGCATGAGACTCTTAATCTCAGGTTCGTGGGTTTGAGCCCCACGTTGAGGGGGGAAACCCTGCATTGCAGGGGGTTGGACTAGATGACTCTTGTTGTCCCTTTCAACTCTACAATTCTATGACTCTATGAAAGGTCTTAATAAGGAATCATTCTGAATTTTTAATTTGCAAATGGGAACATACCATGAGGTTCAGATCTTTCCATTCTCCTCTTTCCTCATCACAATTGACAAAAACTTTTTAAAATGGCAAAATTAATCACCAACTATTATACCTACAATTCTTACCTACTATATTAAACATCACAAGCAAAAATCACACTAAATAATTAAAATTTCAGAACTTTCAACCTATCAAAACTAAAATAAACTGCCAACATAAAACTAGAGATAATTAAGACCGATAACCAGCTGCTAAGAACAACTTAAGTGATGCCTTCATATATCTTTTTAAAAAATAATAATAATAAAGGTTATTCATATATAACAAGACAGCTCTGTCAATAAACTGAGATTAAATAAGAAATAGTTGATTTGCAATCACAGAACCATTTATTGCCCCAATCACAGAGCCATTTATTGCCCACAAGTTCAATATCCAAAACAATCACAAAGCCTTCATTTATGGAGCAACACAGCTCCACCCTTTTCAACCCAAGCAGGTTATTTCTTTTGAGCAGCAAAACCACGAAGCAGCTGGCAGTTAACTATAGAAACATGATTAAGGACGCCATTTATACTCACCAGAAAGTTACCAGAAAGCAGCTTAAGTATTGCTGTGCTGTCTTAAGCCACCTTGCCAGCAGAAAGTTCAGGCCAGGCTGGCACCCACCCACCCTCCAATAAATGTACAGTACGACTGCCCTGCGCACCTTTGTTTTGATTTTGGGAAATTAACCCAAATAATGGGGTGGGGGAGTTATATCTTTTCCTGAAAAGCTATTTCTTTACTAGATCAGGATCACTTGAGGACTTATTTTTTCTGTAAGATACAGGTAAGACCTGCTTGAAGTGGACTAACTTTTGGTGTGGCACCTACCTAAAACGTGCACCACTGTTATAGGCTAACAGTAGTAGCCAATGTAGTGCCTTCCAAACGTTTTGAACTACAACTCACATCAGCCCCAGCTTCAGATCAATGCTCAGGGATGATATGACTTCAGGTCCAGAACATCTATAGGACCCCATGTTGACTATCCCTGAACAATATAATGTCTTTCCTAATTAACATCTGAACTATCACTGCTTTTGACATCTAAGATTCAGGCCACAGCTGCTGAATTTAATGGCAAAACCAGAAGTAAACTTATGAAAAGCTATTAGGCAACATAAGACTATCAACACATAAACAAGTGTGTAAAAAACCCAAACAAATGCTATTTATAGACACACTGCCATGAACTGAGATAATAAAGAGGTTCAAAAGTAAAGTAAAGGTAAAAGTACAGAGTTCCTGTCTTGAATTACTAAATTAGCAACAAGAGTGGGGGTCTATGTGGCCAGCTGCTGAAGCTGGATTCCCTGCAGAAATCAGAATGATTACTTCTCACCCACTTTGAGCCACACCTTGAGATTTCAGTTGCAAAGGCCATGAGGAATACCATAGCCTGTCTTTTTAAAGGAAACCAACACAAGCAGACACACAGCAAAAAGCTACGTAGCTTTAGGACAGTTATGGAAGATTCCTGTGGGTTATTTATAGTAATAATTTCATTTCCTACAGGAGAAATATCATTAACACAGGTAAGCTGGTTTAGGAAGAATAGCAGTCATGATGCTCAAAAGACATTTATCATCAGTAGGTTTTGCTTATTATGACTTGGCACATGAAAGGAACAGTAGCAGCTGAAGGGCAGGTACACGTCAAACAGATGTTTTCCATTGGCTTTACAGCTCCAGGAACAACGCATCAGGGTTGTCTTTGTTCGTTTGCCAGAATTCTTCAACCAGGATGGATAATTGACTGTTAGTTTCAAAGGCAACACCTATCTTGCCAATATACTTTTGGGTGGTCAAAAGTTGGGCTACAGAATAGACAAACCACTCGAAATCACATATTTTCACTATTTCTGTTCTTGTACTTTAAAAGTCACTAGGTCTAGAACGGAAAAGCATGCTGGCCCAGTTAGAACAGCCCCTGACTCTATTTCACAACAGGGAGGCCTCGCTTTCCCCCCAAGCAGCTTAGCACTATAGCCTGAACAATACAACAATGGCACAGCTGCACAGAAGTTCCCTTTTCCATCTTTGATGTTATGTGTTCACATTCTAGGGTAAAAACAAACAAAAAAACTTCCATCTAAGTAACAGAAGAGTTACAGATTCACTCATGCACCAAAGGGCACTCACACTGTAAGCTAAAGCACCCTCTTTAACTTCCACAACATGTAAATAGTAAACTCGTTTTTACAGCTTCTCATAACAAAGCATGGATTCATGTGCTGCTTTCCAGATTTTCACCGAACCGAGACCCCCTGTGGTGCTGAGAACCATTCACCAGCATTTGCAGCAGAACACACAGCTATAAACGCAGCCATTCTGCACCCAATTTCTTTGAATGTTGGTCAGATTATGCCTTTCACCAGGTAGGTTCTCTATGCCAAATTTCACACTAATAGGACATTACAACCCAGAGAATTTTGAAGCGTAATAAAGGTAGCTGCAAAATCCAGACACTTCAACTACACAGCTGCTGCTGTAACTGTATAATGTGCCTGGATATTGTGTTGATGGGCACTAGGGCTGAATCTCACATAGGCAGCGCAACTGATGTGCTGTTCAGAATGCACAAAAGGAAATAACATGCAGATAAACATAGCAGCCAAAAGGGGCTCCTAGATGCTAATGATTGTGCACAACCCCTGCAGCAGATAATAGGAAATGGAAAACCCTGTCTCTTGACAACTATTCATGATCCCTTGGCTAACATGACAGGACTGATGCAGCTCCAGGATTTTCCATCTTTCGTCTCCAGGGTGCCTGACTCACTGCTTCTCCTGATCCAACAATAACAGTTCAACCCCACTAACATCAATGGATTTTATGCTGACTTGCTGGTGTAAACAAGCAAGAAGAATCTTGCCCCATGCCAATAATCCTCCTGCTGGTCCATGACACTGTCACTTGTCAGTACATATCTGGAGAAGCAGCCAAATGTTGCAGTCACAACATACCCACAGCAGAAATGTCTAGACCTTCTGCCCTCCTAACCCTAGAGGTAACCCTAAGCCTGCCTGGACTTACATTTCTAGCTTTCCTTTCAGTGTAAATGCTGGTCACAAATATCTAATGAAACATGGTTCATGTGCTGATTGCCAAGCCGTCACTGAGAGCCCCTGTAGAACAGCATACATCAGGCATCCCCAAAATCGGCCCTCCAGCTGTTTGGGGACTACAACTCCCATCATCCCTATCTAACAGGACCAGTGGTCAGGGATGATGGGAGTTGTAGTCCCAAAGCAGCTGGAGGGCCGAGTTTGGGGATGCCTGGCATACATTCATCAGCATTTGCAGTTGAATACATAGCAAGGAAGAAGGAATGATTGGCAAAAGAGGGATTAAGGAACAAGGTAATGCCATCTTTTTGCACACAAAGTTTAAATTATGCATGTTACTGGTGTGCTCTGGTCCATGGGGTCACGAAGAGTCGGACACGACTAAACAACTAAACAACAAAAAAAGTATTCAACCAGCACAACTTGCACAGCTGCTGTGAACAGGCTTGTCTTAGTCATACATTGCTGCAATCTCACCTGGGGAATAGAAACCACTAGGCTCCATGTTGCTTGGTGTTGACTTTACTGAGACACCCAAAAATAAACACACTAATTAAGGCATGGTGCTTTCAGCTGCTTCAGATCACAGGTGATTTTACAGTCAGATGGGTTTAGCTTGTGTACACACCTAAAGCAACCATATACACTGCTACAACCATATATAATAGCACATGGTTAACTCTATATGTTGTACGGTATGGGTACACCTAATACAAGTTACCCATTTTTGTGCTGTATTCATACATACAAACCCAAATAAACTAACACAGACTGTTAGATTTTAGTAAGGGCTAATAAAAATTTATTATTCACTGGTGTAATTCACATACACAGCAGTGCAAGGTGTGTGAATGAACCCATGTGTACTCCTTCCTACACACACTACCAATAATTTTAGGGCTTTTAGAGTTATAACGTGTGTTCATTATGAACGTGCATTTACCCTTAACCTTATGCCCACAAGAGCAATAAAGAAAGACTGCTTTATTACATGAAAGTGACCAAGTATCTAGATGCTTCTTCAGACAGTAAAGTTACAAATATAAGCAGGCAACGAGACACACAGTACATACACACCTTGATCTAAAGAGCAAAAGAATGATCCAGTCCCTATTAAAAGCCTAAAGAGAAAGTGAATGTAATATTTGTCACTAAAGCAAAGCAAGAAAGGGAGGGAGTAGGGTATACCTGCCCTGAAGCGAAGCATAGGATCAGGCTGGTCCTTGGGACTGTAGAGTGACAAGGGGGACCATGTTGGAGCTTTAAGAGCTAGCCAATCATGAAAATCCACGGTTTAAGTACTGCTTCGAGCCAATGTTTGGTTATGGAGAAGGGGGGTCTTTTAGATGAGTAATTTGTCATAACACCTATATTCCTTTGGCAGTGATGGCCAAACTTGGCCCTCCAGTTGTTTTAGGACTACAACTCCCATCATCCCTAGCTAACAGGACCAGTGATCAGGGTTGATGGGAATTGTAGTCCCAAAACAGCTGGAGGGGCAAGTTTGGCCGTCACTGCATCTACTGTCTCTTTCTACAAGCTCCTATTTCCCATTTTGTTCACTCTGCTTAATTGGGAGTTGAAGGGCTATAACCCTAGTGAGAAATGGCCAAACTGGTTATCTTTGTTTGCTTCCTGAATTCTAAGATTATTTTAGCGTAGTCTATCTGGAACCCATTCTTTTTACAGGATATGTTAATTAAGCTTGTTGGTAACCAGATTACTGTGCTGATCTTTACATAAAGTAAATGAGAAGCTCAGGAAGCCTTCCAGGACACTTCAAGATAAAAGCTACACCAGGGTCAACCAAGAAAGTTCACAATGGGGATCTCCTTTTATGTACTGATGCCGTCATCTTCCATAATGAACCATGTAAAAAGTTAAGATTGACACAAACTATATTGCATGAGGAATTACTGTATATAAAAGGCCTCACCTTAGGCATACATGCTCACGCCAAGAACAAGCTTTCACACCCCTGTATGCAATGTTCTTTTCATCAATGAGCATAAAGAAAGACAGAAGGTATACTCAACTAAAGACACCACAGGCAAACTTAACATTAAAAAGCCCCCAATACCGGTTTTATCAGGGTGCAATCCTATGAGCAATTCACCAGGGAATAAGTATCATTGCGAATAAGCATCGGTGGGGCATACTTCAGAGTACAGTGGTACCTCGGGTTACATACGCTTCAGGTTACACACTCCGCTAACCCAGAAATAGTGCTTCAGGTTAAGAACTTTGCTTCAGGATAAAAACAGAAACCGGGCTCCGGCAGCGCAGCAGCAGCAGGAGGCCCCATTAGCTAAAGTGGTGCTTCAGGTTAAGAACAGTTTCAGGTTAAGTACGGACCTCCAGAACGAATTAAGTACTTAACCTGAGGTACCACTGTACATATGCATAGGGTTGCACTATTAATTTCTCTCTCTCTCATGCACACACATATAGTAGTATGTCTACATATAAAAACACAAACCAAATGTTAGAAATAATTTTGCAAATATACTCCTGCTACAATACATTAATTTACCATCAGAAATACACAGTATGATGGAGGCAGTTTACTTCCAGGCAACTACCTCCCTCAGGGGAACATTTTCCTCGCAGAAAGCTACTCTCACAATGAAGACCTCACCAGAAAACTTGCATGAACTATGACCGTCTCCAGGATTGACGCAGCGTATCTTGAGGCACTATGAATGTGGAACCAAGCCTGAATAGTGGGCATGAGTCCACAAAGATGCTCAGTCAGTCCTATCCCAGTGGCGCATGTTTTCTACTTTCTTTTTCAGGATAGTGGTCTTTCATGCATGATGCTGTCCACTTGAATGCACCTTCGCAAAAAAAAGGGGGGGACCAACCACATGCACATTCCAACCCCAGGGGACTAAGCCTGTTGAGGACACAACAGGGAGACAGAAGCTGACAGGGACAGACTCACGGGGGAGAATGGAATCAGCTCACGCTTGTCCGTTTCGGTCAATTTCAAACACCTGTCACTAAAGCTCAGGTAGCTTCAAATACATATCCAAAGCTGGGGGGGACACTTCAGAAAGAAAGAGCTTTGTTCTACAGCTCTGCGTAAGCCATGTGTTCACCAAAGGGAATTGCTGGGACGTGCAGCATTCTCCTAGGGAGGAAGCAGGCCATCCCCTGCAACAAAGAGTGCCAAACAGGAAGCTCAGCCCCAGGCCACAGCAGCCCCACGCAACAGTCACAACACCAGCAAGAGGAGGCCGATTGAATGTGCGTGCTAAAAGATGGAAGAAAACAACAGGAACAGAGGCAGTGAAGACTGAATGAGGTAGATAATGGGTGTGGCAGCCAACACACCCAGAGAGAGAGAGAGAGAGAGAGAGAGAGAGAGAGAGGCATGAAAACTGCATCAAAAAGAAAAAGCAGGAACCAGTATTACAAAAGGGAAGCAAGAGCAGTAGATGGAAAGTGAAAGGGCGGCAGCACTTTTTTTAGTGCTGGGAACTGCACAACAACCTCAGATGGCCATATGGAAGGCTATACTGGAAGGAAGGAAGGAACCAGGCAGAGGGCCTTCGCAGTAGTGGTGCCCTCCCTGTGTAACAACCTCCCTTCAGATGTCAAGGAGATAAAAAGCTACACAACTTTTAGGAGACATCTGAAAGCAGCTCTGTATCAGGAAGTTTTTAATGTTTGTGGTTTTATTATGTTGTTATATGTGTTGTAAGCCACCCATGGTGACTGGAGAAACCCAGCCAGATGGGAGGGGTATAATAATAATAATAATAATAATAATAATAATAATAATAATTGCTAAATCTGCATATTTTAGTTTTAGGTAGTTAACACAAATCTGCATATTATTTTCATGAGCACAGCAGCTATATTTGGTGAATACTCACATTTAGGCTTGGCACCTGAATTGTTTAAAAACTCATCTGGCTGAGTTTTCTGCCATTTGGATTCCTTCTCTCCCCAGCATTTTTTTTTTTTTTAAAGTTTGTGGCAAATTTAAAGTTTGTGTAAAACAAATTAATTAACACATGCAAATGAGTAAAGAAAGTAGAAACCGTATTATCATTACCTGCACTTCATTCTCCAGCCTATTCTAAACAGCTCTGAATGGACTATAAACCCTAAACTTTAAAGAAGCAAACTCTTATTGTTCAGTGTCCTTATTCTGGATCGGTTACCCTCAAACAAGGAAAATCTGAGTCATCCCTTGCTAGAATGATTTTTAAAATAATGAGAGTTGAAATAGCTTATGAATTTCAGCTGCTGTTGTTTCTTTACTTCCTTCCAGCCTTTTCATGTTTTTTTTCCATCATACTGAAAATAAAAAGTCTAGAAAAACTTAACTTCTTTAAGGATCACAGATGGGATACTTGAAATTATTACAAGTGATGGCGTATTACATAAAAGCATGTCAATTGGCGGAAATAAAGAACATATATTGCCAAGGTGAAAGAATGACAATATAATCAGACCTGAAATCAGGGGGGTGGGGAGGGGGAGAGAGAGAAAGCAAGGGTGGGGGAAGTTTGAAGCATATGTGAGACTGGAGGGTTGCAGCCAAATATTTCATTACATCTCAAATCAATATGTGAGCTTCTGCTCATCACTGTCAAGTGCCTGTCAGGAACTGCCCAGCCTCTGTGTGACAGGCAAGTGAGTGAGCTAATCACTGCCAGAAGTCCTTCAGATGGACCAGCTTCTTTGTGTGACAGGCAGGTGACTGAACCAATCACTGCCAGAGGCTTCATCACAGCCAACACTATTATCTTCACAAAATCCCATAGTGCAAAGAATGGGCAACATTTTTTTTTCTGTCAAGGGCTGCATTCCTTGAAGCAGTAATCCTGTCAGGGGCCATTTGCAGAGGGAAACAGATACATTGATGGGTGGAGTGCAGACCCAGCCTCAAAGGTTGGCCAGCATGGGCACTGACCAAAGGCCCCAGCAGCCTAGATGGGCCCTTCACTGGTCCAACTCAGATGTGCCACCTTACTGACATCCTGACCAGGCCCATAGGCAGCCATTTTAGCACTGGTTTGGCTACAGTGCCACTTCTGACTGGGAGACAAGTTTAGCTTCCACCCACAGTGGCCACCCACCATTTTAATTTACCCAAAATGCAATGCCCAAACCCGCAGAATTATGAAAACTAATGTCAGAATTTTTATCAAATAAAATACTGGCCCTTCCAATTGTTCTGAAACTAAAAAGAATAAGGAGAAACCCTTTTTAAGAGCCAGGAAAAATAAGAAGCAAATGAGTAAGGTGGAAGGAACTTACGGTCTTCAAATAAAAACATCTTGAAGGTCCCAGGCCACAGAGAAGTTAGGCTGGCCTCAACCACAGCCAGGGCTTTTTCCGCTGTGGCTCCGATCTGGTGGAACACTCTGTCACAAGAGACCAGGGCCCTGCGGGACTTGACATCTTTCTGCAGGGCCTGCAAGACAGAGCTGTTCCACCAGGACTTTGGCCAGGGCACAGCCTGACTCCCTCCCTCGGCAATCTTCGCGGAGCTCTGGCCCAATGGTTGCCAGTGGCCTGAATTAATTAATTTTATAATGAATGATTTTAGAGTGTTGTTTATGCTGTACTTTTGTACTGTTTTATTGTTGTTAGCCGCCCTGAGCCCGGCTTCGGCTGGGGAGGGCGGGATATAAATAAAATTTATTATTATTATTATTATTATTAAGGAACTTATGGCAGGATGGAAAAATGGGGGTTTGGAAGCCACGTAAAGTCACCTGTGCCTTAGTGCCCACCTATGTCTGAGTGCATTACAATATAACATGAAAGGATAAAAAGTGACAGGTTGGTGAGCTACGTACTGATGCCTATGAAAAGCTAGGTGAAAATGCCTTCTTAGATAGTGGTTTTGGATCCAGCCTTCCAGCCTCAGTTCCCCACCCATAAAATGGAAATACCAGAGAGCAACTCACAGAGTTACTTTAAGGATAAGCTACATAAATTTGTAAATCATTCAGTACATTTGTGATGCTATCACTGTTCTTGTTTCAGGGTTCTTCCAGCAACCCAAGCTCCCAGAGGTTCAAATACTAGGCTATGTCCCTATGAAGAAGATTGTTCCTTTTGCACAGTTAAGAGTCGTGATTTAGCTCTCTGTGAATTGACATTCTCAGATTTTTTTTCCTCTCCCTGATGCTGTGAAATCTGCCAAGGCTGTAATTCTCAAAGGGTGTGTGAAAAATACAAACACACACACACACACACACACACACACACCCCATTTCCCCTCCCGTGAGGCTAATAAGTGGGCAATGCATTTCAAGCTAGCATTCCAATGGATCTTGTCTGTGAGCTCTTTCTGTCTCTTGACTGGCCCTCTGCCTAATCCCTCTGTGCTGCACAAGGCAGAGAGGTGATGGGAGAACGGCAAGGCAGCTGCATTAGCTGCGGGCTTCCCCATTGCTTCAGGGCAGAGAGAGAGTGTGTTCATTAGAACACCTTGTATCTTGCCCACATTGGCCATCAGGAGAGGCCTTGGCATCATGCTTTCCAGGCCACACTGCCACTCCCCTCTCCAGGAACACAGACATATACATGCAGAGCCTTCATTACTTTGTGGTGCCTTTTAGTTTTCACTTAAGAAAACCACAAAAGGATTTTCAAAGTGCTGCTCGATGCCAGGGGTCACCGCGGAGCCTCTCATCAATGTTCTTGTGAGCTTGGCAGACAGCAGGATGGACAGAGGAGGGGGGAAGGATGGAGCCCAGGATGAGTCAGAAACACAAACCCGTTGCTCTCTGCTTGGAGACTCTTTGCACTGGGGGCTTTGAAGTCTCTGAAGTCAGCCATACTGGGCTGGGAATGGCAACAAAGAGCCAAGACCAGCAAGGCCAGCACACAGCATTCTTCTCATGTCCCTTAGTGGTATATAATTAGACAATAACTGGGCCATACAGCAGCCTCTTATAGCTGCTCCTGTGAAAGAAGCAAATGGAGGGTATTTTCATGCTCCTGCTCCCTAGCACCGCACTTGCCTCTCAACGCTCACTGCTTCTGCTTTTCCCAGAGGGTCGCCTTGTTGAAAGCACTCAGTTAAATTCGGTCAAGATTCAAATTTCTTGGGAAACAATGAGGCAACCAAGAAAAGAAAGAAGGAGCTTCTTGGAATCAGAACAGGAATGGGCGCATAAACACTATGGCCACTATGGTGTACTACCAGAGAATTCAACCCCATTCCCCTTCACAGAAGAACTTTTCCCTTTCAGCAACTGTAGCTATTTCCAGATAAGGATCTCACAGCACTTAATGGATGCCCCATAATAAATTGGATAGCGAATTGACTCCTTGCCCTCTACTGGTTAATCAAACATTATACCCCACCCCCCACCGCAGAGGTATCAGATAAAATTAGCATGTGGTTAAAGAGCAGGCTTTGAAGGTTCAGCTGTTGGTTTGGATAAGCTGAAGCTGCTGAAGAGGCCAGAGATCATCTTGGCTGTGAGTCCCAGAAGACCTGCTCCCTGGACGGACTCCAGCTACAAAAGCTGAGGCTGCTGAACAGACTCTTGCATTGGGGTATTGTTCTGCAGGGTGTTGTTATTGTTGTTTTTGTATCTTTATTTATAAATCGTCTTATGATTTATGTGGCAATTGTTTGATTTGCTTGTGCACTTTTTGATGTGTTTTATTTATTATTTATGACTAGTTTTGTTATAATTGTAATTATATATTTTTTCATGTTGTAAGCTACCTTGAACATGCTTTTAACTATGGAAAGGTGGCATACAAATAAAATGTATGTATGTATGTATGTACTCCTTAGATGAGGATAAGGATGGCAGCTGGCCTCTACAGATGCAATCCTATCTATACTTACTTAGGAGTAAGCCCTATTGAACTCACAATGGGATTTTCTTCTTAGGCAACAAACATGCATAGGATTGTACTGTGTCTAGCTAGCAAATTGGTACAGGAAAGGAAAGAGCGAATTACTTGCAAATCCTTGCCACCATTGCTGCTTACTTGCTCACTTTTGGAATGTTAAACTGTTAAACATTAAATGCCTAAAATATTAAAAGTGACTTGGTCAACCTTCCACAGTTCCCACACTTATTTAGACCAGAAATATTTCCCACCACCACAATGAGAAATGGCTCAGATATGAATGTGTACACTGCCAACCGCATAGTGAACAGATACTTCTTTTCCCACTCAGGTTGATCTTCACGCATGCTCAGTATATTCCAGAAATTAAACTCTTATTAAGATTCAGTGCCTGTGCAATACACACAGGAGGTAAAACAGCATTACAGATACACACGCATGATCCCAAAGAATCTTCATTAAAATCTGTCAGAGCTACGTATATGGAATGGATTACAGTGTCGCCAAGGGGTGTAATGATAGTGCCAGACTCAGCATATTCACATATCCCATCAGCCAATAATGTTGCAGCCCATCTCTGCCTAGTCGGAATTCTTTCTAGCTCTCTTTTTTGTTGTGCAACATGATGAAAAGGATAAAATGAAGTCTCTCTCTCTCTCTTTCTTTCTGCCCCCTTTCCGAAGTCTGTATAAAGAAGGAAATCCATATAAGCAGTATATGATCCTACAATAAAGCTAAACCTTTCTTAGAGCAGGAAGAGCAATGTATGCATGAAGACATGCATATTACACCTGAATCAGATGGGGAAAGAGGCAACCTCTGCAGATAAATTAATAAACAGACCCTCATTCGTCAGCCCTAGGTCTCCAAAGACACAACCCACAAATTTACCCAGACTGCTCAGAGTACAGCAATAGCGAGATTAAAGGATTTAGAATGTACAAAGATGATTCTAAGTGAGAATAAGGGAGCAACTGAGGAAGGAACAAATAAACTGAAACTATTTAGAAAACAGAAAGCTGAGGAGGGGACTGAAAAACAGCCTTCAAATATACCCTGGCCGTGATAAAATGATAGCTGGGTTATTTGTAATCATAGTGTGCCAGTGTGTGAGAGAGAAAGGGTGTCTTCAGAAGGCTAAAACAGTAGGAGGGGAAAAAATAGTTTAAAAATCAAGACGAATTTTGTTAACCATAAAAATATTGACCTGCAGTTAGGTGACCTAGCGTCTTGGGCAGGTTCATCCATTGCACTCAAGGCTCATAAGCCACACAGCTCCCCATACTAGGATTATGGTGGAGCTGGCATGGTTGAAGGGCCTCATTTGAAGTCCACTTCCTGTTGAAGGTAGAACTTCATTTGAACTTCACAAAATCTCATAGAAGATAGCATTTGCAAGCATAGTGCCAAGTCCCAAAACTTCCTGGTTGTGTACTAAGGCACTAAAACAGAAGTATGCAAAGCTCTCATTGGAGCATGCCAAGGACAAACAAGTAAGATGGCTTCCCCCTTCTTACCCTGCTTAATAAGGTAACTTGCACTCTCCTGGTAGATCTCTGGGCAACTTGCAGCAAACCAGTAAGGATTTCTGACTCTCAACAATGGCAACAATAATGCCCCCCCCCCCATTACATTGCTGAATTTAATAAAAACTTTTTGGAGGGTGAGGTGAATGGGCCAGGAGTGGATTTATGAAGCTCCATTCAGTTCTGGCACTCAAAATAAATTCCTAGGTGCTCATAATTCTTTAATTCTAAGAATATGTCTTTTGCACCTGGCTCCAATTAGTGAATCGCAGGGTTCCACTTAAAAACAAAGTAGATCCTGTGAACCTTAAGTTTGCCCAGTGCTGCCATAAAACATTCTAGCATCTTAAGGAGCTAAAATGCAGTAATTTTTGACACTACTGTATATGAGCAGGATCTACTGCTTGATCTCATACATAAAATGGCAAGTCAACAATCGAGAATGACACATTCTCCATTAGTTGTAGATATACTTGCAGAGGAGCCAATCAGCCTTCGCCTGACATGCCACTGTTATATTGCTGGTGATAATCAGAGCCATTGATCGTGGATATGCTCCCTTTACAGAAGTTAAATACAAAGGTAGCATCAATTCAGTGGTAATTTGTTTTGTATGATAGTACAGTACCATTAGCTCAGAAAATATGTGAGCACCTTCTGGCAGTGGAAACACTCAGTGATAAACTACATTTTAGTTTAAAACCATTGCTACTATTCTACAAGATCATGTGAAATACTCCTTAACAGAATTAATAACATTAGGCGAGATATTTATTTGGTTGCATTTCTGAGTCACACCATGACCGAGGTTTTCTTGGGGACAAATGACTCAAACAAATAAAAATAGCCATAATACCAAAAAATGAAAAATGAAAATGAAATATAATAATTACAGCACAACACTAAAATCCATCAAAACCACAATGCAGAGAATTTAAAAACCTCATAGGGCAAACCCACTAATCATCATAACAGCAAAGAGACGAATAGTTAATAATAAAAGAAATGTTAAAATGATATTGACAGGCTAAAAAAAATTTAAACACCTAGGAGGATGAAAAGGTATTCACATGTCAAAAAGACATTTATGTGGGTGTCAAGTTTATCTAATGAGAGTATTCCATGGCTGGGGCAGGCACTATCTTCTACCATATAGTCACTCTCTACACTTCAGAAACACAGGGTACATGGAACTCGTTTTCTGTAGATTTTCTTAGGGCTGGAGTAGGTATGTAACAGTAGCGAACTTTAGGTGCTGAGGTCACAAGCTATGCATGGCTTTATCAATCAAAACCAGCACATGGGCCTGGAAATGGACCAGAATCTAATGAAGTGGGGAACCAGTGTAATGTGTCCATAGCACCAGGTCTGGTAGCCATATTCTGCACAAACTGAAGTCTCCAAACCTTATTCAAAGACTGTCCCATGTACAACACATTGCAGTAATCGAAGTAGGAACAACCAGAGCATGGACTACTGAATATAGTACATTTACCTACATCCAAACAGAGTTGCAGTTTGGATGCCAGCCAAAGCTGATGAAAGGCATTCTGTGTAACTTGAGGCAATTTGTGCCTCTAATGAGAATGATGGATCAAAGAGCACCCTTAAAGTATGAATGTAATCCTTCAAGTGAAACCTTCTCCAGAACAGGTTGAAAATACCACTTGACTGGACAGAGGAGCCGCTTATAAACAGTGTCTCTGTCTTGTCTGGATTGAGCTTCAGTTTGCTAGCCCTCATACAGTCCATTACTGCAACCAACCACTGGTCTAGCACTCCCACCATCTTACCTGGACTAGATGAAAAAGAGAAATAGAATTGTGTATCATCTGCATACTGATGGCAATGTGCTACAAATTACTGGATAACCTCATCCAACCATTCCATATAGATGATGAACAGGATACAACAGGGATGTGGAATCTGCTGTTTTCTAGATGTTGTTGGACAACTCCCATCATCCCTGACCACTGGTGGCTGGGGCAGATGGGAGTAGAAATCTAACATCTGCAATACTATCCATACCCAACTCGGACAGCCTCTCCAGAAGGATACCAGGACTGATGGTACCAAGAGCCACTGAGGAGTCAAAAATCAAAAACTGAGGGGTTGCATACTCCAGTATTTCTTCTGACCAGAGATAATCCCACAGGGCAACCAATATAGTTTCAGTGCCATACACAGACCTAAATCCTGATTGAAATGGACCCAGAAAATCAGTCTCATCCAAGAGTACCTAGACCTGATCGCCAGCCTTGTCTGGTAAGTGGGCATATGCCACTGGCCTGTAGTTGTTAAATAGTTTCAGGTCCGGAGAAGGCTTCTTCAGAAGTTGTTGCCCTATTAGCTCTTTTAAAGACTGAGGCCACTGCCCCTTTGTTACCTCCTAGCCTCAACTGGCTGTCCCCTTCCTGCTGGATGTAATACGCCATGAAGGACAAGGGTCAAGCATTCACATATAAGTTGACCAAATATGATGAAGCACCCTGTCCACATACTAAGGCCCCATAAATAGAAATTCATCCAACAAATGCAAGACCAAACAGTGCTTTGGACATCTCTGTGGATTGTTCTGAATTAACTGTGGAGTCCAAAGCTAAGTAACAGTTTTATAGCTTCTGCCTACAAATGGCCATATGTATGACACCCATTTCTGCTGGTACTCTCCAAGACAAGAAACAGGAACAACCAGTCTTAATTCCACTTCATCTTTCACACCAATCTACCCACAGTTCCTCTGTTTCTCTTTTCATAATTTGGGACATCTGGGATGCCCTCAATCCTCAAATAAACCTCAAAGAGTTAGGAGTCCATCTAGGATATTGATATAATAACTAGAAATTGAATGCCTCAGTGTATCTCATCACAGAACTCAACGGCAGCAAGGAGCTCTGGCTGGGCTTCTGCTATCCAAAGGCTTTTTAAAAAAAACTCAATACAGCTGCTTGGTTCTCCCTGGGTGCTCTGCTGATGCCTGGCAATATCCTCCAATAGCGTTTGCCTTGCTCTGCTAGCATCAGTCAGCCACTGAAAGTAGGCACCCATTATTGAACTTGGTGTTGCTAAACAGCAGGAGAGAGACCAAGCATACCTCCGAACCTGGAATATAGGATTCTATCTTAAAAACTATTCTGTACTTGAATGCGTCTGAACATCTAAAGCTGGATATAGCTTTTCTCTAACTGGTGTTTTGCCTCACCCCTTCCCCAGTCTGGCCAACCCAGCTACTTTTCCATGCCAGCAACATCTTCATGCAGTTTGGCCACTGATTTCCAATGCTGCACAATTATTCCATTTGTAACACAGGATGCCGCAGCTCAACCTTTCTGTTAGTATAAGGAGTTCCCATTGCTGCATTCCTGTGGTAAAGAATGAGGCAGGCCAGTACACAGGATTGCAATGATGGTCGCCTACTGAACATTTGAGGAGTAAGATGTCCTGCTTACTTGGTCCTATGCTATGGCTCATTCCTCTTTTAATGTAGACTTATAAGATGTGCAACCTTCTCTTCTGACCAGTATTAGCCTCTGCCCTAGAAATGGATTGCCAGCCCCTAGCCCCAATTCAGTTAGGAGAATAACAAAAGGCATATTGGTACTCTATATATATTAGAGATGGAGAAAAATCTCATTTTTATGGTGACCTGACCTAATTTGCCAGTCCCAACTCACATGCAGACTGGAATCACATTTCACATTTAACTGAATTTTGCTATGCAGTTTCAGTTCAAAAAAGCATATGAAATGCGTATTTTAGAGAAAGTATACATAGAAAACCCATATAATTTGCATGCATTTTTGTGTTTTTCTTTAAAAATGCAAAACATCAACAACTGGGACAGAATAGATCTATGATTGAGCACACATGAAACTGACACAGAATGGAAATAGGTTGATCCAGCCATCCCTACTATAGGAATACACAATGAGATTGAAAGCCAATAGAAATAATCTATAGTACAGCACTCTAATAAGGCATGGTCCCACCCTTTACGAGGAATAGAGGGCCAGTATATATTCACTCTAATGAGTTGGACAAAGCATTCACTGACCACCAGTTCATCTACTAGATAGGTGGAAAAGGCCATGTTGTTCATATGGCAGATGAAAGAGATTTATCAAGTTATCCAAAACTTACATAAAATAGGTTAGCATGCATTTCTATGTGTATGTTTCTCAGTGAGTGCACACAAATAAATGGAAAAGCACACAAAGTATTTAATCAGAAAAATGTACTGGTGAACTTCATGGCTCTGCTTCTTTCGCTTTAGTCATTCTCCAAATCTCTGTTCTGCTAAGTTAACTTTCATCGGACAAGGTCCCTGTCCTTTTAGAGCAATGTTTTACAAGGCAAACTTGACAGCTTCCCTAAAGAAGGTTTTGCAAGACAGAAGAAAGACATATTTTCATTTCATGACTACTGCTTTGCCCATTGATGTCTCATTCTTGAATTTGAAAAATACCACCTGCCAGATTAGAATACAAGAGCATGCCAAATTAGCTGTTTTCATTATGTTAGGATCTAGAGCCTGCAGTCACATATGGGCCCCCACTATACTCAGTGTTGCATGATTCCGAATGAAAACTTCCTAAGGTGTCTGCAATCCAAAATGACAAAATGTCTACAATTTAGAATCATCACCGTGGGGGTTGGCCCTCTCACTGTGAACTTTACACTCATACACATGCGTGCACACATACCATGCATATAATTAAATACTTAGATCCTTCCTGAACAACATGTATTACGATTTTACAAGCCTCACCATTACCCACTTCTGAAAAGCTGTTTTCACCAAAAGGCAGTAAGGTGATGGTTGAGTGGTGAATGGAGTTTGATGCCTTCCACTCTGGACCCAAGCTGTGAGTGTCATGAAATTACATCAGAAGACCTCTGTTTTTATCATGTCACAAAGCATCCTTAAGCTAGCCCATCATCTTGAAGAAGTTACTATCCCTTATATTAAAGATCTAGTCTTTCCCTCTGGCTGTCGAAGGTAGGGGTGGGGAGAGGATGTTATACCTTTCAGAAATGACCACAGTTCTTCCCTTCGTGCAGAAAGCCCCAGATTCAGTTATCTAAGATCCAGTTAGATAGAAGTCCTTAACCAGGCTGGAAAAGACCTCTGACTGAGAGTTTGGAGGCATTACCAGTCTGAAAGGTCTGAATCTGTAGAAGACATCTTTTTATAGACATCCCTGAATGGACAGAGTGATGGCATGGCAAAATGCAGGTGGATAGTGAAAAGCTGGGATCTGGACAATCAAATGCCTTGTTCACATGTGGAAGGAAAAAACCAACTTGGGTCCAGGGTACCTCAGGGATTGCCTGAACCCTTGTATCACTGAGATTATCTGCAGCAGTGTCACTGGTCATTCCCAGAGTTGGTGAGGCTCATTGACAACAAAAAGAAACCAAGTCTTTCATGTCATTGGCCCTACTGAAAACTATTCTTTTCTGCCAGGTCTATTAAGAATGCATATTTTCACAATGGTTAACTGATGTATATTTTAAACTTTTTATATAGTTTTTATTGTACTGTTTTATTGCTATAAACTGCAATAAATAGTTTTAAATGACATAGCAGTATGTATGTATATATATACACAGAGAGAGAGAGAGAGTTATAAATAAAAACCAGTCAAATTGCATCCAGTCAGCCCACGTCTCACTACCTCAAATGGTCACATAACTCAGCTCCTGGTTCATTGCTTCCTGTCCTGTTTCCATCTTTTCTACCTCATACTGCCTGCCTTTTGCCTGCCCCTTTGCCTTTGGTTCAATAATAGCCTGTATACAATAGCCTGTACCAACTTCCTTTTGCAACACTGCTGAGACCAAAAGGCAATTTGAAAATGATGCTTCAGTCTGACCTTGCTGGGGTTTTGAGTGGCTACTAAGGTTGTGTGTAATACATGC